TGTGATCTGATTAATTTGGCATGCAGTGAACGCACCAGTCATAATTTAGTTTTAATAACAACTCAACTACTGGCATTCGCTGCTGGTGTTCTTCACCACTGTTTTGGAGGAGGGAAATAACGGGAGTAACAGGTGAACCAGCATTTTAAATAAGTGCTGTGCTGTGTAGTGGATCCAAAAGTAAGCAATAAATATTCAAACAAACTTTAAAGTGTTACGTTTCATTCTTGGCTGACAAAAGACATGTGATGTAATATTGTTGCCATATAGCCCACCATGTGGATCTGACCTTCCACCAGACCGCCCAGCCTCTCTGTCTTTCATCATGTCTCTATCACTTCCTTTGTCTTACTTAAGCTAAGTATATACAGCTACCTACACAGGCTAGTTTCCATGGAGGATATCAGCTCAACGGCCAAAGCTAATCTTCTTGAGTCCTTTGACCCCGCATAATAGAATTAACCACCTAAGCCTTATCCCTCTGTGCCTTAACGAACTGTGCTTTTAAATATAAAACTGGTGTAGTCACAGATAAAGCCTCAGAGCAGAATATTTACAGTACTACTACTGTGCCTGTGTGTCTGTGTGTGTGTCTGTATGTGTGCGTGCAGAAAAAACATGCTCAGCAACAGATTCTGGATCTTAAAAGGAACTGGCACAAATTTAGGCAAGTATGCTCTCAACAGCTGACTGTTAGCACTTGCAGCAATGCATATACAGTATTTAATACATTTTTCGAGACAACACAAGGCCAGCTGGTGCCACCTGTTACCTATAAACAACCTCCAGTATTTGCTTCAAACACAATCTGTTTAAAGTAGTAACTTGCAAATCTCAATATACATACGCGTCTGAATTTTTACTCTCGGATGCTGCGGAACAGTCACTTGGCTTCTAACCACTTTATTATATCTTTAACATAAAGAAGCCATGGTGCTGCAGAGGATGTGGTGTGTAGTAGTGTGTTAAACAAAGGAACAAGTATGTATTAGGCTTTGTCTAAAGTGGTGGGACATCAGCATCACCTTCAAAAGATGAAAAACACTTATGAGATGAAAAAAGCGTATAAAAACTATGAGCAGATATCACCAAAAGTTGTGGGCAAAGTCAAGAAGTATAGATATACTGTATATATATATATATAGATACATTATGTTAAACAGTAATTTCATTTTCATGAATGGGTCTCAAGCTATTCCTTGAACACAGGCTGTTATTAGCACAGCTCCAGCCCGTCTATGCACAGACACAACCCAGCCACGGCGCCAGCCTCCCCTCACCTCCACCCCTGAACCTCCTCTCCTGCCTGTCGGCTCCTCTCCCTTTCCTCCCCCTTTCCCTCTTGTTTAAAACACAAGGCAGCCCACCCCTCCCCCTCTCTCTCTTCTTTCTGTTTCCCCTTTTCTTTGGCAGGCAGCACACTCAATCACCCACCCCCTCATCCTCCCCTCCATTCCAATGAATGCACAATCTCCCCCCTTCAGCCGAGGGGGGGGGGACTGCCCCGGGGTTGAGGAGGGGTAGAGAGGAGAGCAGCACCCATGCACACACAAATTCAATCACAAACCCCCCCCCTCTCTGTGTGTCTGTGCACATCTGCAGAGGAACACAGGAGCATGGTGGGTGACAGACGGGGGTGGAATATTTGGGTGGCGTCCTAATGGCTCTCTGTGCAGGAAATGGCTTGTTGCTACACAGACAGCTCCAGAATCAACTGTTATCACGGGCCAAATCCCCCTATTCTATCTGCATCTGCAAAACACACACGTTCACTCACAGCTGGGCCAGGTCACAC